AGTCCCTGTGATTCCATGTCCCTAATCATATCATCAATGATGGCTTGTTTAGCGGACGGGTAGGAGTACGGTTTGAGTGCGATGGGGGTATTTTTTTTTAAAATGATGTCATGTTCTATTAGCTTAGTCCGGCCTATCCTATCGCTGAATACATCCGCGTACTTTTCAATAATTTTAAGAAGTTCCGCGCGGGATTCCGGGTCGCCGGAGATTTCCAGGGTTGATAGGTCGGGAGCTGTGGGGAGGGTGTTTGCGCGGCCTTTCCAGCACGCAGTGGTTCTCCTCCGCGCGCCGAGGTGAATGGTACATGCGGCGTAATCCCAGGAGACCTCGTTTCCAACGAGAAAGTCATGTCCTAGTAGGACGTCGCAGTACAAATCATTCATAATGGTGGCCGAGAAAGAGATGTTGAGGTCGCCGATTTTTGTGTCGAAAGCGGCAGTCCCACTGGTTGAAGTGGTGTGACCGTCCGCCATTCGAACTAATGATGTTAGTCCATTTATGATGGTTCCGAATTTACGAGCAATGATTGGACTTACATATGATTTCTGTGCCTGGGAATCTAAGAGCGCTGTTACGAAGCCGGACGTAAACTCGAGTTCCACTGCTGGGGTGGGAATTTTGTCGAGGCATGTTCGATTAGCGTTCGAAGACGTGGGTGTCTCATTTGAGCGGGACAACTGGTTCTCAACCGCGGCGTCGGGACTTTTCACGGCGGTGTGAACCGCCATTACGAGTACCTCCGAGCCGGTTGCCTCTGTGCTCCGAGACTGTTCCACTTGGGCAGGCACATGTTCCGGTAGGGTGGGCGTAGTATGATCTGCCGCATCCCTGTTGACATGGTCAACCGTTCCGGTCCCTATGACCTTTGTCCCTACACCTAAGGCTTCCCCTGAAACCGGATGACTATCACTTGTGCAGTGGTAGGTATGAGTGGGGTGGTGTAGGTTGGGGAGTTGAGGGACGGCGCCGACTTGTGGTTGTCGGGGGTACGCCGGAACGTCGGAAATCGATGTGGAGGTGTGTACGGAAGATATATTTGAGGACGGTCGTTCGGAAATCATTGGGCCTTTAAGACCCGATTTTCCTGTCGGACGTCCGTTGACAATATCTCCGTTTATAATGCCAAAATTTGATGATGGTGCTGTGCGTAAACTCGGTTGTGATTTTTTTGACAAATGCTTGGAGGCGGATGGTCGGACTAATTCCCCCCGTCTCCTCCGTCGTTTCCCGAAAACGTCGGTTGGTGAGGGCATGTGTTGTTCCAATGGTCCCCCCCACAAATCCTGCATGGTCCCGGCGGCTTCCTCCCATCCGGTCTACGGTTTGGGGGTTGTAATATGCATATATTATTGAGAAATAATAATACGCATATTCCTGAGTCGTATAAGGAAAAACGTACTATTGCATAAATCTTAATGGGCGCCACGCGCGAATTTCAAACAACCACAACAACATCATCATGCGAATAAGACAATCAAGGCCAAGGGCAACCAAGTGATGAAACATCACTTGGATATGAAGACCAAGACCAAGGACAGCCACGTGTCGAAAAACAACACAATTAAAACAGAATCAACAGAGTATATAAAGGCTCCGTTTCACCACCAACGGCAGACGTGTCCAGCTATCAGACCAAGCCCTTCTGAGTTTCGTTTTGATATTGTTAACGCGTAATTTTATAATTTATATTTTTGTATCTATGTCTGTGTTTATTAAAGTATTTACAAGTGTTTGAAATAATTGTTTAATCAAATTTATCCCGATCCAACAACATCATTACGATAGGTACCTGTTTTTATTGGGTACCACGTAACAG